AAAGGGGTGTCAATTGCATTTAGGGACCAGTTGATCCAATCCATAATTCTTTTAGGTTTTAGAGAACAGACTGTGAGAGAATGTTCCAGGAAAAAGTAATAAACACGAGACAAGACAAGGACATGAGGAGCTAAGCAGGGAAGATAAGGGAGAGGAGAGGAGAAAAAGTGCGACCGCCTTCGCTGAGAGCCAAACGAGAAGAGAATTAATTGCATGAAAATCACAGTATTCTGTTCAACTAAACCTAAAAGCAAGCAAGCACAAATGGGTTTTCAAAGTGTTTTAAAATGATTGAGAGACTGGACAGCTCCAGTGTGAAAAGGTAAGTTATTGAAAGATTAGGAGCCACCACAGGCTCTATTGCCTTTGGTTATAACCTGGATAACAGAATCTCCAGGAGCAGCTGGTTCGTGGACCTCAGACATTATGAATCTTCATATTTCTGGGAAAATTTAGGTAAGCAGAAACAAGACTGACCATGGGACAAATGAAATTTGGAGAGAACCTTTTTTGATTCAGTACATAATGGAATGCTGTTAGCGGACAACCACATCTTTTGACCTAGTTGGCAGGATGTATGTTTACAATTGGCCAGAGAAGCTTGGGCGGACTTTCAAAGGTGGCGGCAATGGCAAATATGGTGGAGGTCAGAAGGAACAGAGAACGCACTTTCAGTTGTGTTTAAGACTGGTGGTTAATAGCCAGGGGAGGCCTCGAATGATGACAGCATGGTGGCAGATGAAGTCATATTGTGAGGATACGCTATCTAGTATAGCTGAGAACTGTCTAGGATAGGTGAGTGGTTGGCGGAAGTGACACATCTGAGTGCAGTTCTTGATTTGCTCACTCAGTTTGGCCGGTCTGCGGGTGGAAACCTTATGACAGTGAGCTGGGGCTGCTTCACGGCATCTTCTGGGATGTGGTGAAGCCGGAAAAGCATGGTCTGTGAGGACTGGCTGGACTCAAAAGCAGCGGTCTGAGCGGTCCTGCATTTGATTTAAAGCTGTTCTGCAGCAATGGAGGTTGATCAAGCCTTGAAAGCTGGTGCTAATAATTCCCACAGGTGTTCCAACTTTTCTGGATTACTTACAGCCCCATCTGTCTGCATAAAACCAGTGTTGGAACTAGGGGTAGGTTTTGATTATGGATTTTCCGATTTTAATTGATTCTAGCTAGGGATGCACGGATACCACTTTTTTGGAAACGAGTACGAGTACTTGCATTTCAGTACTCGCCGATACCGATACCGAGTACTTAATAAAAACATGATTTAAATTTACAGGTAACAGCTTTAGTCCTATAATTTAAAAAAAAAAAACAAAAAAAAACAAGGGACTGGTTTGGAATTAAGAACATTTATTTAAAATGAAAAGCATGTTGTATGCAACATATTACAGAATAAATAATTATGAAAAAGAATTTAAACAGTGACAGTGCAACTCAAGTATTGTTTTCAGTTTATTGTAAACTCTGCCGCTTTGGACAACACAAGGGGCATTAATAAACATCTTTGCTATTTAGTGCACAATATTTGAATAAACTAACAACATCCACCAACATAGAACTGTGGCAGTCAGTGCAACTGAGGTAGGTATTAACATCAAGTCTAAGATGACTCACTTAATGGAGAGAAAAAGTGAGTGGCAGGGTTTTTTTAAGAAAAGTAGCTTTTCTGCATTATCAGCAGTCAGACTGTTTCTGTTTTCATCTATAATGTGTGACACTGACCTAAAAAGCCTTTCACTTTCCACACTGCTACATGGGGCTGAGAGGTATTTACTCATCTGTTTCTCTGTTTAGAAGTCTCACTAGCACAGTCACAGCTGGGATGACATCAGAGGCTAGTGCGTCGTAGCTGCTCACTTTTTTAGTTAGTTCCTCAAAGGGGGCGAGGATGGCAATAGTCGTCTCCATAAGAGCCCATTGGTGAGCGGTGAGACAGTCAGGGAGTTCGTGCTCGAACACGCCCAGCACTCGCTTTTGCTCAATGAGGGACTGGAGCATGTAATACGTGCTATTCCAGCGCGTCTGTACGTCCTGCTGCAGTCTCTTTATTGGCTGGTTGAGATGTCCCTGAATGTCCTCGAGGCGGGAGTAGGCTAAGGCGGAATGTTTAAAATGCCCAACTATTTTCCGTCCCACTGCTATAGCATCAGCTATGCTCCTCTGTGCTAATAAGCATGGGTAAAAAAGCGTGGTTAAACTCTTTGTACTCGTTGTCGTGTTGGGATTTTGGTGCTTGATTAAATTACTTGTGTTAAATGCGCTACCTTTTGAGCCTCCTCTGGACAATTTCGCTGAGCACAATTTGCAGTCCGCCTTTGTTTTCGCGTCTTCGTTCACTTTGAAATAGTTCCACACGGCTGACTTGTCTGGCCTGCTCTTCTCTCAGCTCTGAGCTGCAGCCGGGGCCTGGGGGCGGGCACTCGGGGCCTGGGGGCAGGCACTCAACACCTGTGATTAACCCCTTACATGCCGCTCAAACATAGACAGGTCTCAGACCGTGGTATCGGTATCGGGGGACTTTTAACGAGTACGAGTACTTTAGAAAATGTGGTATCGAGGCCGATACCCGATAACGGTATCGGTGCATCCCTAACTCTAGCTTTAACCTCCTAAGACCCGAACTCTTCCACGGCATGCATTTTTAATTTCTCTTTGATATTTGGGCTTATTGGGACCCGATGAATGTAAAAACAAAGAATCACCAGATTTTTTTTTTTTACTCGATTTTTGTTCCTAAGAAAAATGAGAGCCACGTATGAGGATATTCGTTTTAAATTTTGATGGAACAGTGGCAGTATAATGTCCTTGTAAGTGGATATCAGGCCCTTGTAGAGCAAAATTTAGTATTTTGGTCTAGACAACCAAAATGCGATGTCCACATAGGTGGACGCCAGGTCCTAGGAGGTTAATAATGTGATATCGATTCATTAAAATCCTAAATCAATTTTTAAATATAAATTTATTTTACCCGAAATGCCAGAATCTCAGGTTGAACCTTACAAAATTTCGACAACCACCAAACAGCTTAAACAGTAAATGAGAGCAGGTACACAGATTCTGCACAAAGACGTAAACACAATCAGATTCAGTGAGCTGTCGGTTTTCAGCCCTGACGGCGTGTCCGTGTACGTGCACTCGGGTGAGAAAGCCGACAGCTCTCGATTCTGCTTGAAGCTGTAGGCTTTGTCTCTCTCCAAACAAATTTGACTGAACCAGTAGCAAAAGAAGATCCAAACTAAGCCTCACATTTCGCTTCACATAAACATCGTCATGAATTCTCTCTGACTTTTGCTGTTTTGCTTCCACCACAGTAAAATCACTTCCTGCAGAGCTCTCTGTCTCTCTCTCTGTACTTCGAGAACAGTTTCCCATCTAAAAATCTGTTTTCTGCATTATTTGCTTGCTTTATCATACACCAGTCTACCGTTATGTACAGCACTGTCGGCCGCTGTGTGTTTG